GGACTCCCAGGGCCCTCCACAGGGCTCGGTGCTGCCGCACGGGGGTTGTCTGGGGTGTCTGTTCGCCGCTCTCGGAGGCGCCCAGGGCCCGCCGCAGGCCTCGGTGCCTCGGCAGCGACGCCTCGGGGTGACAAAAGTGGTCCTGAAGGGACGGCCGCAGGATCCTGGCAGCATCTGAGCTTACCAGTTTGCAACATATCCTTATCCCTCTGGTTGACATCACCTCACCTCGACGCCGATCTTAAGGATTCACTAAGTTTCTGAGGGCCTATCCCTAAGATTGTCCTCGCTTCTTGCTCGCCCATCTTAGGGATAGCGATACGTTCGAGGCTGGCTATGAGCGACGCAAAACAAAAACAACAGGCTCCCCGGGCGCGACGTCAGGTGGCGCGCAAGCGCCCCCGTCTCCCATTCAGCGTTCCGCGCGGGCGGCCTGCGTGAGCCACCGCGTGAGGCCGACATGTCAGTCACCTCGCGTGAAGGCCCGCCCTCGACCGTCGCTCGTTGACCTCGGGCCCAACTCTGCAGTCATACAGTCGGGGAGTTGACCTAAGGAACCCTAAATAAGGAACGGGGCCCCTTTCTCCCATACGTTGAACTTCGATTTCCCATGGAAAACCTCTGGATAACTGAAGGCAAACTGCAGAACAATCAAGGAACGCCGAGCCCCTCTCCAACGAAAATGGTTCCTTCTTCAGGGCCCCGACTGTACCAAAGAGGCCGCAGCGGCCTCTGCCTTGGGGCCGTCGTTCTCGTTCCGCATGAAGGACGTCAGCCTGGTGCCCATGGCCACCGCCGACGTGGCCGTCTTTGCCATGGCCAGGCCCAGGCTCTCCATGCCGACCAAATGGGGCGGGAGCAGATGGTGTCGGAGGATCGCGCCGCGCCGCTGATGCACCGGCAATGCACCTCAATCCAGAGCCCGACCTTTTGTGTCCCGACGTCGCCTGCGCGTCATCGCCGCATCGGCGATCCGAAGCAATCCTCCGACCCCGCCTACTCTTGAGTCGGGCCCGTCCCTCTACAGGAGGAATATTCAAAAATAGTAAAAGAATGGTCTGGGGACTCTTTTTTGGAGTTTTTGTTGACCATGTTGGAGCCTTTTTTTATTATTCGTCGGAAATCCTCCTGTAGGGGGACACGCCCGACTTGAGTCTACTCGGGCCCCACTTGAGCGGTCTCCAAGGTACCACGCTGGCGAGCCCCACAAGGCCGACGTCATCACATTCACCCACTGAGCGGATCTGCTGCGGTGGCGGCTCGACGTTGCAAGCACGGCTTGCTGCGACGAAAAACGTGTGTGCGATCGGGCATCGGTAGGCCAGCAGCGGGCAGGAAGGCAGCAGGAAGGAGCCGCTGCCGTGCGGGATGGCGCAGGGAAGCGGCAGGAGAGCGCCGTCTCCTTGCTCCGATGCGAGGCTAGCTCGATGCTGTGGGCGGCCCGTCAGGGTGGCGCTTGGGCCTCGGAAGCCGGCGGAGGCAAAACGAGGCAAAACGTGTGTTTGTTTGTGTTCTGTTGTGCTTTGTTGTGTTTGTTGCGTGTTTGTTTGTGTTGTTTTGTGGTTTGGTATGTTTTTTTGTGTGTGTTTTGGGTTTTTTCCCACAGAACCTAAGACTGACCCCCCTCGGAGGGGGGTCAGCGCCTGGGCACCCGCAGGAGAGGCGGCCGCACGCCGCGGCCGGCGCGCGCAGAGTTGGAGAGGCAGGCTAATTATCTTGCCCCAGCCTCCAGCACTCGCGCGCGCGGGTCTTGGCGAGGGCCTGCCGCAGTGAGCCCGAAGAGCTCCACGGACAGCCCGCCTGGCGCACGTATCCGTAGCCGCGCCCTCGCGGTCCGCGTTCCGGGGCGCGATCCCGCGGATGCGCGCTTGCACGGATGATTGCATTCCGCGCGGGGCATCTAGGACAAAAAACGACCCGTATCCGCAGGGCCGCGGCCCAGGAGGCCGCGGATACGGACATGTTTTCCGCCCATGAGGACACACAGCGGCGGGAGAGGGCGGGCAGATATATTTCGGAGGCCACGATTACAGTCGCCTCCGAGATGATTGGGGCGAGCAGCCCATGAGCTGGCAGAATTGGCTGTGGGGGCCTCGCCGAAGGCACGCACCCTCGGCGCTCCTGGATGCAGGTGTTGGCCCCCCCCCTTGGGCTGCTCGCCGCGTCGTCGCCTCCGATGATCCGGGTGCGCTGCCGCGCGGTGCCGCCACCGCGCTCGGGCGGGCTGGGAAAAAACACACACAGGAAAAAAACACACACTGTGGAAAAAAACATACACTGTGTTTTTGTCACACAGTGTGTGTGTGTGTGTGTTGTGTGTTTTTCCCCACTGTGTGTTTTTGTCCCACGTGTGTGTGTGTGTGTTTTTCCCAGAGGCGGAGGCGCACCGGGGGTGGGTGGGAGGGAGGGTCCACGGCCCCCCCCCTGCCCCAGTATTTGGGACCATCTTCTGCCCGGAAGGCCGAACACGAAGGGGCTTGGCCGCAGAAGTGGACGCATCTCGGGCTCGATGCGTCGATGGGGCTGTCACGATTGCTTCGCGGGAGGCGAGAGGGCCCGACGCACACCAACCGCGGCAAGCGCGGCGAATGTTCATGAGCGCAGTGCAAGGCTTTATAGTGCAAGCACTGCTTGGGAAACAAGCTGATGTACGTGTTCTTCGCTTCCGATGTCCTCATTGCGTATCTGGCAAGTGCAAACGGGGGTCAGCCAGAGCACCTGATCCTGCAGGATCCTGCGGGATCTCGCAGGATCCTGCAAAGCGTGACTGGCCCAGTTTCGGATTGACCCAGGTCAGTACGTTCAACCCGCATCGTAAGAAAGCGGTGGGAAAGTGGCCCCGCACGCCCACTGAAGTGCAGTTGCGAGCCCAATAGATGCTGTAGAGGTGCACTTTTTTGCATCCCCTGTTTGTCCCCCCCCCTTATAAAGCCCCCGACAAAAGGGGTGCGAGAGTGCGAGGATACCTGATCGTCCTTTTGCGTGCTGCGCGATGCGCGAATTCGGGCGACCTGGTGGCCTGCCCTCTCGTCTGGTGTTGGATGTTTTCTGCGCCACCTGGGGGGATCCCGTGGAGCGGTGTCCGGCGCGGGGTGCAGGCAAGCCTCGGCCTAGCAGCGTGCCACCGCGCGCGCGGCCGTCGCCGCTCTGCTGCGCCCCCGGATGGTCCAGCGGAGCCGTGCGCAACGCGCATTCAACCGTTGCCGTGCGCAACGCGCAGTCAATTGTTCTTCGCCCCCCTCCCCGGGTGCTGCTAGGCGCGCATCTGTGGCCACTTCACTGCGCCTGCGCGGGCTCCATCGGAGTGGCGCCCTGTGCGAATCGAGCGTGGACCTCCCCCTTCCTGCGTGTGCCACGCGCGCATCTGTCGCCTCTTCGCTGCGCAAATGGGAGTTTCAGTGGAGTGCTGACCAATGCGTTTCGGAACCTGACCTCGCCCTACTGGTCCTCCTCACTCCTTGTGCCGTCCCCTGTCTCCTCCTTACCCCCTTCCTCGTTGTTGCGCACATTCTATTCCCCCTCCTCTTTGGACATCCTTCCCCCTTCGTCAACATGATTAGATTGCCTTACTCCTCCTTCATGATCATTCTAGATACTGCCTGATGGTATTGGCCCAAAGGGGCATGGATCGCATAACGCCCATGATGTAACTTTCACAAACGATCGCGTGACATTTGAAGCGCTCTTTCGACTTGGACGGGCCCGGTAATGCTGCAATGTTTTGCAGATGGGATGCGTTTGTGGTTGAGTAACCTTGGCGTGGGCACTCCCACCATTCGACCACTTCCCACCGGCCAGCTCCTCATTCCGAGTTTTGTTGACAGGAGGCAGACACATGGGCGGCCTCGGACAGCTTCCCGTGTGGCGCCCGGGTCTCAGGGGTGGCTCGGGCCCCCAGCAGTCGGCCGGAGCTTCTGTTTCGGCAGACGGCGCGAGAGATTTGCGCGTTTCCCTGGACCGCCTGCGTGTATTCGTTGTTGCCCATTTATGCTGTGCAGCTTCGGTGCACGAGGTGCCGCATGGGGAGTCGGGGGGGGCGTCGTTGTCTCCCGTTGTCTTCCTCTCGTGGTCTCCCAGTGGCTCCCGTTCTCTCTCGTTGTCTCCCGTTGCCTCCCGTCGTCTCCCCTCGTGTTCTGTCGTCTTCCATCGTCTCCCGTTGCCTCCCCCTTGTCTCCCGTCGTTTCCCAGCATCTCCCGTTGTCTTTCGTTTTCTCCCACTGTCTCTCGTGACCTCCCGTTGCTTACCGTCAGTCAGCATTCCATGCTTATTCGTATGAGCATTACGCTCCGTATGAGTTTCGATTTTTTGTGAGTTGGGTATAATATTACCAGTATAAATATTCGTAGTTCGTAGCGTCGTAAGTGTTGGTAGTCAGCAATCGTCAGTTAGTAGGTAGTGTTTAGCCGTAGCAGAAGTCGTAGAAGGAGTAGCCGCTGCAGTCGTAGTAGTAGTAGTAGTAGTAGTAGTAGTAGTAGTAGTAGTAGTAGTAGTAGTAGTAGTAGTAGTAGTAGTAGTAGTAGTAGTAGTAGTAGTAGTAGTAGTAGTAGTAGTAGTAGTAGTAGTAGTCGTAGTCGTAGTCGTAGTAGTAGTAGTAGTAGTAGTAGTAGTAGTAGTAGTAGTAGTAGCAGTAGTCGTAGTCGTAGTCGTAGTCGTAGTCGTAGTCGTAGTCGTAGTCGTAGTCGTAGTCGTAGTCGTAGTCGTAGTCGTTGTCTTCGTCGTTTTCGTCGTCGTTCGCCGTGGTAGTAGTCGTAGTACGTGTCAGGATGTGGACTGGTGGGCCCTTGGGGGCTGGTTTTCGGTGTCTTCTACCACAAGGGCGTCATGTTGAGAGTCGAGGTCGAGTGAGAGGTATTCATGTCTGTCAGAGGGACCAGCCTCAGAAGGCGACCTCACAGTGACGCAAACAGGCGATCTTGTTTGCGCATCGCCGTCGTCGTGCTCGTCGTCCTCGTGGTCTCCCTATTCCACGCCGAGCGTCTCTTCGCAAGCCCTGGCGCAGGCCTTGGCCACGGCGCTGGCTTCCGCGGCCCTCGCCACCATCCGGGCGGCGCCCACCAGCGTGGTGTTGCTCGTCTCGGCGGCAATGCTGGGGATAGGCGGGCCGTCTCCCCTGCGCCTCTCCCCTATAGGTCGGCGAGGTCGAGCGGGTGCGGTGGGGGCCCCCCTCCCCGTCTGTGGGGAAGTCGGGGCGCCCTCTCTCCCCGTCGGTGGCGGAGGTGGTTTCGCCTGGGCTCAGGTGGCCCAAAACGGCTCCGCGCAGCAACCCCAAGGTGGTTGTGGTGTCTGTGATGAGGGTGCGGCCGCATGGGTAGGGCACGTGAGCCTGGCGCCAACAAACACACACACACACACACGACGTTCTGGCGCGCGCATGTCGATAACAGGACGGCTTTGGTCATCATTGCCAGAATTATACCAACCCCTACAGGCGGCCCGTATTAGTAGGTCGACCCTGTCAGATCAAGGGTGCCCTCGTGTCCTGTGTCTTGCGACTCATGCATCCTGCATTTCTGTGGCAACGTAACCCTCGAACGGGTCTTGTGTCCTCTCGCGTGCCCTCTCCAATCAAGTCCGACTGAACTGGAGCATGGCATGGTGGCTCTCCTGGCGTACCCCCTCCAGGTGGGAGCTGGTGGCCCGAGACCCGAAGGAGACGACATCCATCCCCACCTGAGGGGGGTAGGTCGGCCAGCGGGGTCAAGGTTTCCCCCGTGGGGGTACGGCGTGTTCCACCTGTCCAGAGATCCTCTATTCTGCCTTCGCCCAGATGGCTGGTCGGTTTCCCCCTGGGTGACCAACAGAATGGAGGTCGATTGCGCGGACATTCGCGCGTCAGTTGACCACGCATGGTCGCCCGTACGCGCCCTCTCGTCCGCACGGTCTGCCGCGCGAGCGGCCTGCGCAGGCTACCGCGTAAGTTCGTTGTGCCTGCGTGTGTGAGCCCCCCCATTCCCACACATCGCTTATGCAAAGAGGGTTGTTGGCAAGTCATCTGAGCTCAGATCGGCGGCTTATTTCTTGCACTCGGCTCGCCATCTCTATCTTCATCGTTGCCGTCAGCATCAGTTCTGTCATCACGATCTCGCCACCACGTTGGGCCCGTGCCCACGACACAGTTGTCGTCATCATGACCGCTGCCATCGCCACCATCACTTTCGCAATCGCTATCACGACCATACGCGCGTCCACTTCCCTTGTAGTCGTTCGTTGCCGCTATCAGCTGCCCCCGGGCGCGGCTGGCGGCCCTCCGTGGGGATGTTGCAGCGGCGAAACCCCAGTCGCGTTGCCGCCTTTGACTCTCCTGCCTACGCTGTGCGCCACGCGACCTCATCGCACCTCTGTAGTTCGGCCTCTGAGCGTCGGGGCGGGTGCTGGCTTTTTTGCAGAGCGGTGGTCTGCCGACGGGCCTGCGTGTGCGGTCGGCTCCGGGATGCGAGATGTAGTGAGGCATCGTGGGTCCTCGGCAAGTCCACGCGGGAGTTGCAGCGTGTCCGTGCTTCCCCCCTTTTTGAGAGGCGGTTCTCCCGTCCCCGCCCGCTCTCCACCTGCCTCTGCCCTTGTACCATCCCCCGGGCTTCCTTCTACTTCCCCCCCTTCCAGCGCCGAAGGCGGCCTTGGAGGCGACGGTGGTCAAATCTATTCACCTTGGAGCACGCGCGTCGACATACAGACCGAGCAGGAGCCCGTTCCTGATGCTGGCCCTAGTCATCCAGACAGAGAGAGAGAGAGAGAAACAAAAAAAACGAGAGAGTGAACGGGCAAGCTAGGTGCGCTCGCGCCATTTCTGACAGATCCCTCTCTGCGCTTATTGTTGCTCGTTCCTCGGATATCTATAAAACACCGTCGTTTTATGCGCAATCGGAAACAGGGGAGCTGCTTACATAGGAGGAGGAAGAGGAAGAGGAGGAGGAGGAGGAGGAACAGGAGGAGGATGAAGGAGGAGGACGAGGGCGAACAGCAGCAGCAGGACTTGAAGACGAAGGAGTGGGAGGAGCAGGCGGACCGGGGAAAGGCAGAGGAGGGGAATTATGAGGGACGACAACGATGAAGAAGGACTCGGATCCAGAAACGTGGCCCGCGCTGGGGCGAGAGAACGATGGGGGCAAAGCGCCAATTCGAAGATGAGGCCCACGCTGCAGCGGGAATACCATCTTTGAAGCACCGAAGACAATCGGGTTGCAAGGCACGTTGGGCAGGCAACGTTTGACATATTGTGGTTTACCCCACATAGCTACGCGGGGAGGGGCGAGCATGTTCCGTACAGGGTCGGGGGAGAGAGGAGATCAGTATTCATAGTGTGTCATTGGAGAGGGGCAGAGAGAGAGAGAGAGCGAGAGGCATGGAGAGAGCGAGAGAGAGAGAGAGGGAGAGAGAGAGAGAGAGAACCATGCAACAACACAAGCGAAGGTAAAAGAGAGAGCGAGAGATAGAGAGAGAGAGAGTGATGGATAGAGAGAGCTGCATGAAGAGGATCCAGCTGAGAGGAACATTATGAGGAGTGTGAGGAGGAAGACGAGGGACATACTCAACTGAGCAAGTTCCCTGACAGCGCAATGTAATGCGGTGCATGAGGACAATACAAATGACAACGACGACGAGAAGAACAACGAACAGTAATGATGGGGAGGACGAGGCGGATCTTGTGGACGAGGAAGACGAGGAAGTTGAGGTCGAGGGGAACGACGCAGAGGCTGATGCGAAGGAGGAGGATGAGGAGGAGCATAATGAGAAGGATGAGGAGGAGGAGGAGGAGGAGGAGGAGGAGGAGGAGGAGTATGGCGACGACGAAAGAGAACGAGGACAAGTATCTAATGGCCTTTGGCCCATCCCGCCACCGTGTTTGGGTTTTTGGTCTGAGTTTCAGGGATGCGTCTTCGGGTCTCTTCAGAGTGCTCTCGGGGGCCTCTTGAGAACAGTTTGGTGGCCTCTGGGGAGCCTCTTGGCGGGTCTATTGGGAGCCTCTTGGTGCTTTCCGGGGGCTCATGGGGTCGGGGGCTCGAAATGTCCCTACAAAGACAGCGCTGTCTCGTCAGGGGAGACAGGTGCCGAACAGGACGAGGACGCCACGTCGGGGACCCACTCCTCGCCGCCTGGCGACAGAGGCGGCGGCAACCAACTCTACTGGAGATGACCATCTCTCCCCGCGCCGCCACAACGCTGCGCCGCGACCCCCCTGGCATCGCTCGGACGTGTGCATGTTTCCTTCGGCGAGGACCATCGAGGAGCATCCTTGACCATCTGGCGAAACAACCACGCACGAAACCGACAAAAAGCACAGGGAATGGACGTCTGAGCGACGGCAGGGCCCCCCGCGCCCCCTGCGCCGCCCACTCTCCGCGGCCCCCGCGGAGGCCGCCGCTGCCCCCCTGCCCTGACTGACGGCCCCCGCGCCCCACGCCCGCCAGCCCCCGCACGACGAATAGAGGTGGTGAGCGGCCAATGCTGTGAATCCGTGGCCGGAGGCGTGGTGACCGCGAGCTACATCGCTTAACCTTTCTCGGGGGTGGACAGAACCCCCAACAGTGACACGTCGATTAGTGAATTGTCCGTGTTCGGTTCTCGAGAGGGCGCCGTGGCCGTTATTTTCCAGGCTTGCGCCCGCCAGATTTTGGCCTCAGGTCGTTTTCACTAAACCACGTTTTACTAAAGGGGGGTCTGTCCATCCCCGACTTTCCCTGCCTGCCGGTCGCTGCCTTGCCCTTTATACCTGGCCCGCCTACTTCCCGCCCCACTCACTCACACCTCCTCACTCCTGTGGCCGCGGGGACGGTCGGGTGCTTCATGGGGGGGAACGGGGAGGGGCTCTCGCCGACGGCCGCCCTGACAGGGGCCAGAGAGGCCGCGGCCAACCGCCACGCGCTGCGCGCCAGACAGCCTCCCGATCGGCCTCCTCCGCGTCCCACCGCTGCTTTCCCCTTCCTTGTCTCCCTCTTGTCTGGCCCTCTGCGCGTGGCAGGGTGGTCTCGGCCGCCCGCGCTCGTGGGCCCGGCAACGCATGGCTGGTGATGCGAAGCCCGAAACCAGCCGAGAAAAGCACCGGAACGGGACGGAGGTTGGGGGTGGACCGCCAGATTGTGTGTTTTGTGTGGGTTTTTTTCCCGTGGGAACACACACACACACACACACACACACACACACACACACACACACACACACACTTACACATTACACACAAAAAAAACACACAGACTCTGTGTGTGTGTTTTTCCCAACCATCCTGTGGTGTTGGGTCCTCGTTTTGAAGAGACAGCGCCCCGCGTCCCACCTCCTCTCCTCCTCCTCCCCCTCCTCGCCCTCCTCCCCTCCTCCCCCTCCTTGCCCCTCGGCACACCCCTCCAGGGCAGCGTTTCGTAGCCCCATAGGGAGCTCCACCGAAGGCCCCAGTGGCACAGCCCGCATGCGGTTCCCCCACCCAGGGCAGCGTTTCGTAGCCCCATAGGGAGCTCCACCGAAGGTCCCAGTGGCACAGCCCGCATGCGGTTCCCCCACCCAGGGCAGCGTTTCGTAGCCCCATAGGGAGCTCCACCGAAGGCCCCAGTGGCACAGCCCGCATGCGGTTCCCCCACCCAGGGCAGCGTTTCGTAGCCCCATAGGGAGCTCCACCGAAGGTCCCAGTGGCACAGCCCGCATGCGGTTCCCCACCCAGGGCAGCGTTTCGTGGCCCCATAGGGAGCTCCACCGAAGGTCCCATGGGACCATAGGGAGCTCCACCGAAGGTCCCAGTGGCACAGCCCGCATGCGGTTCCCCCACCCAGGGCAGCGCTTCGTGGCCCCATAGGGAGCTCCACCGAAGGTCCCAGTGGCACAGCCCGCATGCGGTTCCCCCACCCAGGGCAGCGTTTCGTAGCCCCATAGGGAGCTCCACCGAAGGTCCCAGTGGCACAGCCCGCATGCGGTTCCCCCACCCAGGGCAGCGTTTCGTAGCCCCATAGGGAGCTCCACCGAAGGTCCCAGTGGCACAGCCCGCATGCGGTTCCCCCACCCAGGACAGCGTTTCGTGGCCCCATAGGGAGCTCCACCGAAGGTCCCAGTGGCACAGCCCGCATGCGGTTCCCCCACCCAGGGCAGCGTTTCGTGGCCCCATGGGAGCTCCACTTGAGGCCCCAGTCGCGCAGTTCGCATGCGCCCCCCCTCCCCCCCACCCAGGGCAGCGCTTCGTGGCCCCATAGGGAGCTCCCCCGAAGGTCCCAGTGGCGCAGTTCGCATGCGTCCAGTACTGCGCTTCGTGGCCCCATAGGGAGCTCCACCGAAGGTCCCAGTGGCGCAGTTCGCATGCGTCCTCCCAACACCCAGTACAGCGTTTCGTGGCCCCATAGAGCTCCACCGAAGGTCCCAGTGGCGCACTTCGCATGCGTCCCCCCCACCCAGTACAGCGTTTCGTGGCCCCATAGGGGGCTTCCCCGAATGCGATACCCACAACTGCAGATGGTTGGGTCTTTCGCCAGGCTAATTCCCACAGACTCTGTGTGTTGTGTGTGTGTGTGTTTGTGTGTGTGTTTGTGTGTGTGTGTGTGTGTTGTTTGTTTCTGTTTCCAACACCCTCTGTGTGTGTGTGTTTTCCCACAGTGTGTTTTCTCCCACAGTGTGTTTTTTTCCCACGTGTGTGTTTTCCCCACAGGCCCTTGAAGGGCTCAGGCCGCGCAATGCCGCCCGCTTGGGGCCTTCTCCCACTGCTCACGTGGCGTTTGGCCGCGGAAAGCCGTCCTAGTGAACCGCGTGGCCTGCCCACAAGCCGCGCGCCAGCCTGGTTCGCCACGGCCGCCGCTGGAGGGGGGGGAGGAGTTACCATTCGTTGGAGTGACCTTTGGTGCGGACACAGATGGGTCCCCAGATGGCCGAAAACGAGGCAGGAGCAGCGGCCTGCGCGCCCAGGTTTGGTCCCCCCGCGGCCCCCCAAAAGCCGCGCACCAAAGGTCACTCTTACCCAGAGTCACTCTTGCGTGTACCCGAGAGGGGATCCATCAATCAATTGCCACACAGCCCCACTCCACGGGGAAAGCCACCGCGGCGGAAGGTTCTCAAACCTCCCCCCTACGCTCGGTGGAGACCCCCCATGCGCCCCCCCTGGCTGACTATCTGGGAATCCTGCACGTCGTTGACTTCCCGTCGCTGCTGTGGGGGGCGCCTGTGGGGGGCTGCCATGAGCAGGGGGCGAGGCCTTTCGGCCTTCACCCTGGCGAGCGTGGACCCTTCCCGCCGCCGCCACAGCCTCTCCTTTTTCCTCACTGGGAGTTCTGATCGGCTCCCCCCCCCCGTCTCTTCGCTACCATCGGCCGTTCTCTACCAGACAAAACCCAGCAGCCAAGCCGACCGAACCTAGTGGTCTGGCAGTTTTCGTTGCGATCAAACCAAATCACACCAGAGGATCTAGTAACCAAGCATCGCCGCGAGCATTGCTCTGGCAAAATTAGCCTGGCGAAGGACCCAACCATATGCAGTTGTGGGTATCGCATTCGGGGGAGCCCCGTATGGGGCCACGAAACGCTGTACTGGGTGGGGGGGGCGTATGCGAACTGCGCCACTGGGACCTTCGGTGGAGCTCCCTATGGGGCCACGAACCGCTGCCCTGGGTTGGGGGGAACGCATGCGAACTGCGCCACTGGGGCCTTCGGTGGAGCTCCCTATGGGGCCACGAGACGCAGCCCTGGGTGGGGGAACCGCATGCGGGCTGTGCCACTGGGACCTTCGGTGGAGCTCCCTATGGGGCTACGAGACGCTGCCCTGGGTGGGGGAACCGCATGCGGGCTGTGCCACTGGGACCTTCGGTGGAGCTCCCTATGGGGCCAGGGGGAACCGCATGCGGGCTGTGCCACTGGGACCTTCGGTGGAGCTCCCTATGGGGCTACGAAACGCTGCCCTGGGTGGGGGAACCGCATGCGGGCTGTGCCACTGGGACCTTCGGTGGAGCTCCCTATGGGGCACGAAACGCTGCCCTGGGTGGGGGAACCGCATGCGGGCTGTGCGCTGCCCTGGGTGGGGGAACCGCATGCGGGCTGTGCCACTGGGACCTTCGGTGGAGCTCCCTATGGGGCTACGAATGGGGGAAAGTGGAGAACCGAATGCATGGGCTGTGCCACTGGGACCTTCGGTGGAGCTCCCTATGGGGCTACGAAACGCTGCCCTGGGTGGGGGAACCGCATGCGGGCTGTGCCACTGGGACCTTCGGTGGAGCTCCCTATGGGGCTACGAACGTGTGAGGGGTGTGCCGAGAGCAGAGGCAAGGAGGGGGAGGAGGGAGGAGGGCGAGGAGGGGGAGCAGGAGGAGAGGAGGTGGGACGCGGGGCGCTGTCTCTTCAAAACGAGGACCCAACACCACAGGATGGTTGGGAAAAAAAGAGCAAAGAGCCGGCGACTCCTGGAACGAACGCTCCAGGAGTCGCCGGTGTCTCGGTCTGACCGGCCTCGAGGGCCGACGGGCCCTTTTGGGGGGGGGGGGGAGGGCAGCGCCGGCGGGATTCTCGCATGCTTTCAGGAAGTAGGAGGAGGGAGGAGGGATGCCAGGGAGGAGGGATGCCAGGGAGGGATGCCAGGGAGGGCTGCCAGGGAGCCATAGGGAAGGATGCCAGGATGCTTCCAGGAGCCAGGAGGAGGGAGGATCGGCGTCCCCCCAACATACTTATGCTCTATGTTCGTCGCCCCCAACAGGGCGACGCGCGCACCGAGAATTCTTATGGTAGATGCGTCGTGGCGGGCGCTTTCTGGCCACAACGCTCGAGAAACGATATACTACAAGATGGGTATACTATATGTTCGGGTCGTACGCGCGCCTCCACGGCGGACATATAGTATCAGTATGTCTCTCTGCGTCCCAGAAGAGGGATGCCAGGGAGGAGGGGGCAGGAGGAGGGAGTCGGAGGGAGGAGGGACAAACCCTCCCGCAGTCCACGGCCGAACTCGCCCCGGGGGTCACGCAGTTCAAGTTTTCGCGCCAGGTGGTCCGCACCACGAGGACGGCCGCCGCCGCCCCCGCCCGTCTCCTGGGGGCGTCAGCCTTCTGGTGGGAGGGGGGCCCCACTGCACTGAGGCAGGATAAGGCCGATTCATGTCCCACCCCAGGGATGAGGAGGAGGAGGAGGCTGGAGGAGGAGGGGGGAGCAGAATGAGGAGGAGGAGGAGGAGGAGGAGGGGGGACGAGGGACGAGGCCTGGCGCAACGGTCCGTCGAGGCGGACAGCAGGCAGGAGCGGCCAGGGGCCAGGGACCTCACAGGAGGTCGGTGAAGGCGGACGCCAGTAGCACCCCGAACTACCCGCCCCCTGTCTAAGGAGGGCCAGACGGGCGATCCATGCAACGAAGCCAGAGTCCAGCAGTTCCACGCGCAGGAGGCGCGGTGAGGGCCAGCTCACGACACTCAGGTCGTTGAAGGCCACAGGCAGCAGTCCTCCAAGACAGAGACAGTGCGCAGAAACACGTCGACGTTCAATACCCGTCGACGAATTTGGAGGCTGTAGAAAAAGAAATCGACCGATCCGAATGTATTGTAGAATCGATCGCACACTCGCTGCATCTGTACGGGCACGCCTCGAACTCAAGACAGACGGTCTTGATAGCCATCCGCATCGGATTGCCAGGGAGACATTGCCCGTGGGGTGGACACCCTTGCGGAGCTTTTTCTTGCGCAAGTTGACGTTCGAGAGACAGGTCTTACCCTTTTTTCCTTGCCATTCGGGATCCCGCCGCGTCCTTCAATCAGCTGGTTAGGTACTCCGCCTCCTGACCAGGCCACGCACGCCACACAGAAAATGAGTGGGCCAGCTCGTCGAAGACGGAGTCCATTCCACTCGATAAGCTCGGATCGAGGCCACTCTGAAACCAGCTATTCGCCAACATCCCCAGGGTCTTCAGGAGCCACAGCCGCATCCAGGGCGTCCATCCTGAACTCGCCTACGTCGGAGACTGAGAAGGGAACACCTTCTCCAACGTCAATCATAGCTTCAGCACGCAGCCAATCAAAGCGTGAAGGTGAGGAGGAGGGGTGAGAGGGTGGAGCAGAGAGGAGGAGAAGGAGGAGGAGGAGGAGGAGGAGGAAGAGGGAAGAGGAGGAGGGGGGAGGAGGGAGGAAGGGGGAAGGTGGAGGAAGAGGGAGGAGAGGGATGACGAGGGAGGTGTCGGCCTCCCAGGGGGAGGAGGCTTTAGTGCACCCAGGCAGCGGCGCCATACCCATTGCCCCCTCCCACCCGCCCTGGTATGAAGGTGATGAATGAGGAGGGCCAGGAGAAGGAGGAGGAGGAGGAGGCGGAGGAGGAGGATGAGGAGGATGAGGAGGAGGAGGAGGAGGAGGAACAAGAGGAGGAGGCGGAGGAGGAGGACGAGGAGGAGGAGGAGGAGGAACAAGAGGAGGAGGCGGAGAAGGAGGAGGAGGAGTTGGAGGAGGAGGATGATGAGGAGGAGGAGGAGGAGAAGAAGGAGTAGAGGGGTGGGGGGGGCGTGTTTAGGGCCGCCGCCCCAGCGAGCGGGCAGGCAGGGGCCCCCTGGCGCCCCCTGGCCGCGTGGAATTATGCGTTCTTGGCGCCAGGAGGCCCGCCCACTAGGAGCGTGTCATCGGAACGCTCCTTACTTCCTCAAGGGACCTTCGCGCGTGAAAAACAAATCATAATTCCTTCCCCACTACTGCGCACAAGCGTGCGAACGCGGTGCCAGCAGGCCCCAGGGATATCAGTAAAATGAGCCGGTCGCCCGTCCAGGCTTCGAAGTCTCACCCGCTGAAACAAGCGATTGTGTATTGCTTTGCCGTGGAGGGTCTGGAACAACGCGCATGGCGCGAAGCGCCAGTGCAGTTGTGTGTGTATATATATACACACAGATTCCTCCTCCCTCTCTCCTCCTCCTCCTCCTCCTCTTCCTCCTCCTCTTCCTCCTCTTCCTCCTCCTCTCTCACTCCGCCGCGCGCGAACTCCCGACAGGACCGGCGCTCCCTTGTCGGACTTGCAGGACGCGGTCAGCAAGTTAGAGACGAACGCAGAGAGGAGAAAGACCACCGCGAGGCATTGGTGGAAAGGGTCAGGGCGAGGAGGAGCAGGATCGGTAGCGGCAGGAGCAAGGGGGGAGGGGAAGGGTTTATGGCATTGAGGAAGATGAGAGGAGGAAAGTCCGGATAAAAAGTATGAGGCAGATAGTATGTCCGTGGCGATCTTGGGTAAAAGAGGATTGAACGACAATTGGACGCATTCTGGTTGTCGGCCTCAGTTCTGGGCTGTTGCGCTGGGACGTATAAGCAAAGTTTGGCTGTATTTTCAATGGGAGGCACCTGAGCTGTCGTCACCATGCTGTTGTCTAATATTGTCTGACTCGTCTTCCAACGTGTACATCAGGACACAAGGAGTGTCCACGCCATATCTGCACAACCTCTTTCGTGTTCAAAGCACGATGTGCCTGACGATGGTACTGCTTCGCTGCGGACCTACGACATTCATGCCCTTTTGAGCCAGAGAAGCTTTATCATTACGGTCCGGAACTACTGCTTAGCTCGTCGCTCCGTAGGTTCTGGCCCACCACGCTTCGGCGCGACACGTCATCCACGTCCCAGCCCCCTGGCTGCAACGTCCCAAGCATTTCCCGACCTCCCGCCCCGTCGAGCGGAGCGACACGTCATCCACTCGCAAGGTATAGCGTGTCGTCGGGGCCCCAGCCGCGACGCGCCATGCACAAATTCTGGACCGCATCGCGTACCAAATCAGATGCCAAAACTACGCATCGTGTTGTCATCACGCGTGCTGGCCTCGGGTGCATCGATGGCTCTTCTGTGTCAACCGCCCCTCGACCCTCATTCCTCCAAGTGGGGTCCACACTGTTTGGTATGGCGTATGGCATGATATGTGAGCAATCGTCGCAGATTCGCAGATTCCAGCGGCGACGGCGCACTCGCCAGACGAGAACAAAACCATCTAACAGGCTACGGCCTCCTCGCCCTGGTCGTAGACGGCCCCCCGCGCGCATGCACGCACGCTCGCACGATGGTGGGTGTCCTAGGCTTGACCATCATTCGTCCAATTGGAGTTCCGACTGAATGGTATGGCGCATGGCATGGCAAGCGCCGCAGATTCCAGCGCCATCGGCGCACTCGGAAACGATCGCCTTGCTGATCTCAAGCACCCTCTCGTGCATGTCTGCTCAGATGCGCTCAGCCTCGGCAGACTTACCACAAGGCCATCAGCAAGGGAGCTCAGATGATACATCACGGGAATGGGCTGGCTTGTCTCGGCGACAGTCCCGGCCAATCGCCGCGTGTCACAGTTGTGGAGATCACAGGCGAAGCCTTCCCGTCACAGGCGCCATAGTTGGTGGTCACACACATTCCCCGGCCGCGGGGCTTGGAGATGGGAGTCGCCGCCGCCACCGATCGGCCACGCGCGGAGCGGGGCAGTGGAAGGGGGGAAGGCCTCTCAGAAGCAGCCCTGCTTCTGAGAAGGCGCGGGCCTCCTCTATGGATGCAGTTTCCTTCTAAGAAGCAGCTTCCTTCTGAGAAGCAGCTTCCTTCTAAGAAGCAGTTCCCTTCTAAGAAGCAGGTTCCTTCTAAGAAGCAGTTCCCTTCTAAGAAGCAGCTTCCTTCAAAGATGCAGTTCCCTTCTAACAAGCAGCCTCCCCCCTGTGCGCGCCGCCAACAGACAGTCCCCGGCCCGAGCCTTGGGATGGGCATCGCCGCCACCGGGACGGGTACCCGGTCACGTTTTTTTCTAGCAGCGCGCCAGGAGGTGTCGGGGACGGAAAAGAGGGGGGTGATGAATTGGGGGGGTGGATATCATGGCGGGGGCCATGATATTTCCCCAGATTTCAATGCGCTGCTTCTTATTTCATTACGTCCCTGGCCCCCCCGCTGGGCCGCGCACATGCCGCCGGTCATGATTTGCACCCCCCCCTCTTGGACACCCCCCTCTTGGCCGCCCCCGAACGTGGCAGGAGCGCGGCGGGAGAGCAGCACTCTCGCGCGGGGACAGCTCAGGATGGCAGCAGGGGAGCGCCGTTCTCCCCCATCGGCCAAGGTCCCCGTCGATGGAACAGCCATTAGGGCGGCGCTGGGGGCATGCCCGGATGCAGGAGGTCGAATAAAATACCATGAATATGGGAAGGAGGGAGTGGGACGATGAAGAGACGGACTGGAGAGGAAGTGAGTGGAATGTCCTACTTTGGTGATCTTTGAACACTCTATTTGTACGGCTTATTCAATCGCTTCGCTCATTCCGCCAGCCCAGACTGCTTCGCCGCTGTCGTATGTTGGGGTGTTGTTGTCAATGCGGTGCGGTTAGGCGGCTGCAATTTTTCTGAGGCTGTGGGTGGCGGGTCAGAGGCCTCAGGGATGTTGGTTGGGCTCTCGTGGTTGGCCTCTGAGGGGCCTTTGTGAGGCAGTTTGAAGCCTCTTGGGGGCCGTGTTGGGGCCTTTGGGGGCCTCTTGAGGGCCTCTTGAGGCTTCTTGGGGTGCCTCTTGGGGACCCCTTGCGGGAGCTTCTTGGGGCCTCCTGGGGGCCTCTTGGGGCTGAAGGCTGGACCTTTTGGTTCCTGGTCTCCTTCTTGGGACCTTCTTGGGCCGTTTCGGGGCTCTCTTGGGCCGTTTTGGGCGCCTCTTGGGCTGTCTTGGGGCCATCTTGGGCCGTCTTGGGGCCCTCTTGGAGGCTTCGTGGGCCGTCTTGGGGCGGCCTTGGAAGCCTCGTGGGCCATCTTGGAGCGCCTGTAAGTCGAAAAGGCGAGAACGCCAAAATCCGTCAGAAACTGAAGGGAATCACTTATTTCTGTCGCTGTGGGCCCGTTGGGGGTCTCTGGAGGCCTCTTGGGGCGTCTTGAAGTGGGCTGTCTGGAGGCAATCTTTGGCGTTTTGCATCGCTCTTGGACCGTCTCGGACCATGGTGAGCTCTCTTGGAGGCCTCTTGAAGCGCTCCTGGAGCGTTCTTGGGAGCCTGCTGGGACCTGGCCGCGACCTGCCCAGAACCTGCCCGGGACCTGCCCGGGATCTTGCCATGATTTAGCCGCGATTTGCGGGGGTATTTTTCGTAAGACCTTGCCGCGACTTGTGGGGGTACTGTCCGTCCGGGGACCCAGGAGGCGGCCCCGCACGCGCGAGTTAGAACTATTGTTAGCCAGTTACTGGAGATCTTAGCACGCCCTTGGCCCGTTGGGCCGGCGGATTCCCAACCCTCCTGGTTGTTGGGTTCTCGTTTTGAACAGGCAGCGCCGCGCGTCTCCTCCTCTTCCTCCTCCTCCTCCTCGCCCTCCTTCTCCTCCTTCTCCTCCTCCTCCTCCTCCTCCACGTCTCGTCCTCCTCGTTGTCGTCCTCCTCCTTCTCCTCCCTTCTCCCTCACACGTTTCCTGCCCCCCCCAGGGGGGCGCCAGCGAGGGCCCCAGTGGGTGCGTTCGCATGGCGTCCCCGCGCACATTTCGTCCTCCTCCTCCTCCCCCTCCTCCTTGCCCTCCTCCTCCTCCTCCTCCTCCTCGTCTCGTCCTCCTCGTTGTCGTCCTCCTCCTTCTCCCCCCTCCTCCCTCACACGCTTCCTGCCCCCCAGGGGGCACCAGCGGTGGCCCCAGTGGGTGCGTTCGCATGGCGCCCCCGCGCACATTTCGACACACCTTACCAGCCTCGAACTTATCCCTATCCCTAAGATTGACACGCCAAAAGGCGATGACAATCTTAGGGATTCGCCCTCAAAAAATAAGGGAATCCCTAAGATTGGCATCGTGATGAGGGGATGCCCAGCATACGGATAGGGATATGCTCCAGGCTGGTAAACACCTCTCACACTGTTCCTGCCCCCCAGCAAGCACCACCGATGGCCCCATATGGTTTGGGCGTTTTTGGTCGGAGCGCCCGGGAGGTGCCGTCAAAGTGTTCTCTTGCGTTGAGTGGCCCCATGCATAGTTGCCTCGCTTTGAGCACGGGTTGGGTTCTTCGCCAGGTTAGTTTTTCTACAAGCCGAATGTCCAAGTTGTTGCGATAGGTGTACGAAGTTGCAACATGGGGATGCAGGGTCCAATTACGAAGTTACCATCTCCAGAATGGAGATGTGACAGTTCACTGCTGATCAGGGAAAAGAGTTGGAATGCCAGGGTGATGGGGTGGAGAACGGTTGAGCCCGTGTCCTGGGGCCCTTGGCGGCAGTGGATGTGGATATCTGCAGTCTTACGTGGTCAGCTCCCAGTGCATCCACATCCGCCGCCTCCTGGGGTCCAGGGAGTTCGGTTCCTAAGGTACTGTTCGCGTAGACTCACACAGGTCTCGACCCCCTCCCTGGGACGGGCGTTTCATCCCGAGTCGTTTTGGCTCGGCGAGGTCCCCGCAGAGGGTGAAGATTGTTGAACATTTCCCGTCGTGATGTTTCTACGACGCGAGGGGGTCTGGGTGTCGTGTTGACCGCAGCGGCGGCGCCAGCGCGGGCGTTCACGGTAGAGGGATCCTTGAGGCCGCGGAGGATCGGGCGGGGCTGAGAGGACAGGGAAGAATCGTTCAAGAGCGTTCGAGAGCGCTTTCAGAGCGATCTGGAACGCTCTCAGAAGGCCGTGGCGCCGGATACATCCTGCACAACCGCCGGATCTCGGAGTTCCCTGAGTTGTCCTTGTCCGATTCTGTCCCTGTCCAGGCTTGGTCTTGCAAGCGGCAGACGAGCGACGGACGGCAGACGAACGATTGACGAACGGCGGGCGTTCACGGTTAACGGATCCTTCGGGCCCGAGGGGGAGGGCATGCGCAGAGGGGCGTTTTTAGGGGGAAGAGGGGGGGCTTCTTAGAGGCACCCCTGCTTCTCGGAAGGCGCGGGCCTCGTCTGTGGATGCAGGGCCGGCGCCGTCCAAAAAGCAGCCTCCTGCTGCGAAGCCCTCCCCCCTCCCCCTGCATATGCCCCCCCGTGCACGCGCCGCCAATGTCGCAGGCCTGGAGGTTGACACCAACACCAAGATCGGCGGTGTGCCTCCACCGAGGGAAGACGATCCCGGTCTCGGTGATGGTGGTACTATTCTGGCTTCCAAGGTGACCGAACTATTACCACCACCACCGAAATCTAGGATCATATTCCCCCTGTGGAGGCACCCCCCTGTGCTGGTGTTGGTGCCCATTTCCAGGCCCTTAACAATGAGGGGGAGGGCAGCGGCTGGCCGCCAGGCTGCTGGACGAGCTGAGCGTGTGCACGGACGCGCGGCGCTCCGCGGCCATCTCGGACCTCGTCTGGCCGCCGCGCCCTCCCCCCCAACGGGAGCAGCGGGAGGAGGGCCCAGAGATGGACACCAGCGCCAATTTCGACGGTGCGCCTTGCTCGCTTGGAGTAGGGCTCCAAGAGCATGGAATGACCTTCACAATCCGCGTCACCCAAGTCTGGGGCCATTGCAGGTTCTTGCTCTCACGGCCTCACGGCCCTGCGGTCGCCTTCGTTCGGATAGCCCCCTGGAGGGGCAGCGGATTCCTCCTTCTCCCCCGCCTGTTTACCGTGGAAAAACAACAATTTCGACGGTGCGCCTCCACCGAGGGAAGAAGGTCCCGATCTCGGTGATGGTGGTCAGATTCTGGCTTCCAAGGTGGCCGAAATATATTGCCATCAACGCTGACATCCAGGGCCGTCTTCCCCCCGTTGTGGAGGCAGCCCCCCTGGTGTTGGTGCTGGTGCCCATGTCAAGGCCTCCTGAGCAGGAGGAGGGCCCAGACCCCTCGCGCCGTGGAGCGCCTCGGCGGCGAAGTCCGAACCCTGCCCTCGCCGATCCACGATTCGGGCAACTCGGTGGGCGGCGCGGGCAGGGCTTCGGAGTTCGTGGAGCACGCAGCGAAATCCGAGCCCTGCCCCCGCCTCCCATCGATTCGGGAGACTCGAGGGTCGGGTGGGGGATCGGGTCCAGATGTCGACACCTCCTCGCGCCGAGCTGGTGAAAACTCACGACGGGGTGGGTTTGGATATTTTCTGCCTTTGGGGGCCCTTGGCCGTCAAAAAGCGACTCGGGATGAAGAGCTGGTCTTGGGTCCTGGGAAATGGGTCGAGATTTCTGGGTGTCGACGTTGCGACAAAAATATGACGTCGGGGGTCTGGGGAGGCCGGCGACAAACTGGGTGTGGTTGCGCTGGGTTGCGGTTTGCGATCTGCGCCGTTGGGGTTTGGGGGGCACCACGTTGCGCCGCAGGTGTGGTGATCCCTCGTCGGGGCGCGGCTTAGAATTGTGTCGAGGTCCTCGCCTGCCCACCACGGCGCGCTTTGCAAACCGCACTTTTTGGAAAACCACACCCTTCGGAGTCGCCGAGGACGTGCCTCTGCTCGTTGCGAAAAGGTCACGGGGTACAGTTTTTGTATGTGCTCGGCTTCAAGCAAGAGGCCCCCCACATGGGCCCGTCAAGGAACGGCTCAGGATGGGAAGACAGTGGCAAGTGGCCCAGACCTCCAGGGGTTCACGTTGTGAAAAATCACGTCGTCGGAGGTCTCGGTTGTTGGAAGCGCAGGAAGAGGGTACGGCAGGTTCTTTTGTCGTATTTACGCGGCGGCGTCCGCGGCGCGGACGTTCAAGGTTGAGCTCCACCGCTTGCCAGAATCGGCTGATTGTTGGCGATCCTGCGCTAGATCGGAGGAGTTCCATCGTATGAATGGTGACCAACACGGAGGTCTTCGCGATACGAACCCGCCGAAAAGCGGAGGACAGGGAGCACAGTTTGGGGAACCGAACGTGTGGATATCATGGTTGAGGCCGGCATGTTTCTTTGGTTTCGTGGCCACCTCTCTTTGGTTTCCCCCTGGCCCCAACCTCGTCCGTGCAGATGACCCCCTTCTCGGTTGCTCCCTTCGGCGCGCCCGAAAAGGAAGTGGGTCGAGAGAGAGACCTAGACATTTAACGTATTGACAAAACGTAAACGGCAATTTGTCGTCGTTTATTGCCCAGGAGCCCTCGTTGGGCCCCAGAACCCTCAAACAACGATTCGGGATAGAATACTGGCCCTGGGGAAAGGGTCGACACTTTGTTTGGGGGCCCGTATAGAATACATCAACATGTTTGAATTCTGGAGATGGGGATGTAGGGCCCTGGAAGGGAGGAGGAGTAGGAAGAAGAGAAGGAGGAGGAGGAGGTTCATATAGTGGAAGGACGGAGCTCCCCGAAGTTTTGGGTCAGCCCGTCGTTTGTTGAAGTGCTTGGAGATGTGGCCGCAGGATTCCCTCGGACTCCCGAGCTCTCTCGAGCTGGACCGATCGCCAACGGCGACGGAGCTCTTGACCTCTTCCGCGGACCTCTCCCGACATCGGCGCATCAAGCTGCAGGGAGGCTTATCCGTGTGCTCACGGCGGAGCTCTTCCCAGATGACATCGGTCGGATATTCTCGGGTCGCCTCGCTCGGTGGTTTCCCGACGCGGCTGAGATTTTGCGATTTCGTGAACTGGGAAGAATTCCGAGATCCCCTTCTCAACACGAGAGGGCGTCTAGCCAATGCTGTGTGGAAGACTCTCAGCGGCAGCTGGCCAACATCGTTGAGGCTTCACGAGGACATCGCTCACTCATGCGTGCTCGGTTGCCAGCAGAGTGATTCATTCGTGCACGATTCCTCGAGTTACTTCGTCTCGTCCTCTGTAATGGTGTCCACAGTTACCCCATCTGTCGATTTGGAGTTTTCCTAACGACCAAGTCAGGTTTGAGTGTCCCTGCTGCCGCCTATTTGCTGTTTGTCAACCTCCGCTCTCTTTTCGTGCCCCCGCGGGCCCTCAGCGAGAAGCAGGCGCAGCAGGCCGTGCCCCTAAGTGAGGTTCAGGTGGCCCGAGCTTCGAGTAGGCGGTGAGGAGTCGGGATTCGGTTCGCAGCGACGTGCCAGGAGGAGGAAGAGGAGGTTCAGGAGGAGGTGGAGGAGGAAGACGAGGAGGAGGAGGAGGAGGGGGAGGAGGAGGAGGAGGAGGAAGAAGGGCGAGGGGCCTACCAAGCAGGCGGGTTCGTTGGAGGAGGGCGCCGAGACCACTCGCGCCACGAAGAAGACCCGGATGGAGCGTAAGATGAAAAGCCAGCCCCGGCCAAAGGCCCAAACATTGGTCAGCGATCGCCATCCTGGATTCTACGGACCCCCATCCCCGTCCCGATCCCCGCCATCCCATCACCCCTGTCGGGAAATGACCTCTTGAAACTCGAAGGAGACAGCCTAAATCGGCCAGTAGAGCCCAGGCCACACCCGTGGGAATGGGGATCGGTTAAGCGATGCTCATTTGGAGACCCCGGATTGGAGGAACATCGCGGCGTCGGGGGTTCAGGGGAGGGAGCTGCTTGACATGGCGCGGACCCACCGCCCGCATAGAAAGCCCAGAGGGTTTCAGAGGTTGCGCCAGCGACGGGTTCCGCTCGAACAGGAGGGGGATCACACGGAGGGGTTGGAGGAGGCGGAGATGGAGCACACAAGGACTCCCTCAGCCCTTTGCAGTGTGGTCCACCAGGATCGTTCGAGCTGTCCACTCGATTGCGCCCGCTTCTCCGGTCCTGTTGCTCGGCGTCGGGCTGAGCCGGGCGCTCAACGTAAGATTCGCACGGTGGCGTTGAGTATATTCGACCTCGCGGCGCGTTCCTTCGAGGGCGCCGTGTTTTACTCATGAACCGTGGCATGCGCGCTGGCTGAAGGACTGGCGCGCGCCGTGCTTTGCCGAAGAGGATAAGATTGCACACGCCCGCTCCTCGTCCACCAGTCTCCCTGTGCCCTGGGAGGGGGGTTCTCCATCGGGGGTCCCTGGAGCCCCCTGGATCCGTTTGTTGCGGAGAATAAAGTCCCAAGAGCAGGAACAAAAATATTCGATCGCTCATTCTCCTCAGGCCTCGATCCACCCCCACTTTAGATTATTTTCCAGCAGCGAGCCTCGAGCCTCGATCGTCGATCCTCTTCAAGTCTCGAGCCTCCATTATTCTTTTTCTCCTCCACCTCCTCCTCCTCCTCCTCCTCCTCGTCCTCTTCCGCCCTCGGGTGTCAACCCAGGCGAGCGTGGCTTTTCCACGAGAGTCCCGTCGTCCAGTCCTTGATCGCGGGCGGCCAGGAGTGCTTGTCCCAGGAGCCGCGCAGCAGCTCGCTGCCTGCTGCTGGTACCGCTGTTTGTATCAAGGCGTCGTTAGTGCCAGCCGATGAGCGACGGAAGACAGACGGGGCTCGCGTACCGAGGGTCAGCCAATCCCTAGTCCCCCTCTGGCTGATCCTGGTTGGGTATTCGCGTGGGGCCGGTTCCCCCTTTCCGCCTCGACTGGCCCAGGTTTGGGAGCTATTGAGCGAGCGGCCGGGTTTCGCGGCAGGGCCCTGGCCGACCAGGGTTAGCGAGCGCTTTCCCGGAAAAGCGAGGTCGATTGCGCGGGCATCCGCGCGCAAGTTTCCCGCGTAAGGTCGCACGTAAGCGCCCCCTGCTCCACACCGCGTGCCACGCTGGCGGCGTGTGTAAGCCGTGGCATGAGACCAATATGGTCTATGTTTTCTCGCGTAAGACCAGCTTTTGTGCTTTCGTTGCTTAGGGGGATGGTGACGCCGTCTGAGGATTGTTCGAGGATCGGTAGATCAATCCGGTGCTGCTAGACGTGGCCCTTTTTTCCCAGGTGGCCCCAGCTCTCCCAGTGAGGCACAGCATGCTTCCCGTGCATCCCTCACGCGGCCCAAAGGGCCCTGGAGGCCCCCAAACGGCGCGAAAAGTTGGGAACACCTGGATTTGGGAATAGAGATTAACATAAAACATTTCCTCTCGGAGGTCCGCGCGGATTTCTAAGATTGTTTGCAGGACCCCCCTCGCTGTGGCGGCACCGGAGGCACCGCCAGGGAGCCCCAGCGCCGATCCGAGAAATTCGCGCGGACTTCCAATAGGAAATGCTTCTGATTATGTTCCCTTGTACCGACCACGCGCAGATGGGGGGTATGCGGGAAGGGAGAAAGCTTCTTATTAGAAGCACCACTGCTTCTCAGAAGGCGCGTGCCTTATCTATGCATGTTGGGCCAGCGCCTCCTAAGAAGCAGCCTCCTCCTCAGAAGACTTGTCCCCTCCCCCACACCCTCTTGTGCGCGCCACCAACTGCATCAGCACCCGCATCCAGGCGTTTGGCGCCGTTGGCCTCTGGAGGCCTGCCTGCCTTGCAGGCGCTGATGTCAAGGTGCCCCAGGGCCAGCAGGAGGCGGCAATAAGGGGCAGGGGCAACACTAAGGGGGGGGATGGGCATATGGCATATGGTGTGGGATGTACCAACCCCCTGGCATCGCTCGGGCGTGTGCGTTTTTTTCTCGGCGAGAACCATCGAGGACCATCCCGGACCATCGAGCAACAAAAAAACACGCACGAAACCGAAAAATGCACAGGGAATGGACGTCCGAGCGATGGCAAGACCCCCAATCGCCCATCGATCGCCGATGAGGTGTGGGTTCACTGTCGGGGGCCTATCGCAGATCTATCGGCGATGTCTCGCCGAGTCCAGGTCGATGTTTCGCCATGGGGGGAACGTGTCCTGAGGGAAACGGGTCCTGAAGCTTTTCGCCGTTTTCGGGTTCTCGGGGCCCTCCACGGGCCCCAGGACTGACAGAGAACGACAGTGGATGAAAAATTAGTCCTGGGGGAAGGCCCCGTGCTCCAGGACCCGTTTCCCTCAGGAGCCCGCTTCCCCCATGCTAGAGGACGGGAGTCCTCCAGCGTCAAGGGTTGGGCGCCTTGGAGCCGAGGAGGAGGAAGCAGGTTTTGCGTTTCCCTTCTGGGAACAAACAATAAGATGGACATGTACTTTCGGAGGTGGCGCGGATTGTTCGGATCGGCGCCGGAGCCCCCTGGCGGCGCCTCCGGCGCCGCCCCTGGGGGATCCTGCGCCGATCCAGGAAGTCCGCGCGGCGCGCCGAAAGTTTATGTGTACGTCGTTTGCTGTTCTCCGATGCCTTGGCCGCAATCATTTTTGGCTGGTCTGTTCTGAGAGTGTGCTCACTGCCAACCTCGATCGCGAAGTCGAGGCTCGCGAGCCAAAGGCTCGGTGCCTCCTGGGCTCTGGGGCGGAGCCCTCGCGGCTGCGGCAGGGTCCGCCTCGGAGTCCGTGGTCGGGGCGCGCCCCACCGGGCAGGGGTCGGGGGCTGCCACGGGCGTCCCGGGCCCAAGGGGCCCCCAGCCTTTGCACCCCCGTCTCTTGGACATCCCCCTCTTGGCCGCTCCCGATCTAGAGTTTTTGAAGGGCCCCCTTCGAAGAAGGACAAACTGCATAAACATAAACTCTCGGCGCTCCGCAGGACGATCCGCGCGGGGCCCCCCCGACAGCGCCTCCGGCGCCGCCCCTCGCGCGCTCCGCGCGCCAGGGAGGGGGTCCAGCGCAGATCCAAGAAATCCGCGCGCAGCGCCAAAGGTTCGTGCTTGTGGCCTTTTCCCCTGTTCGATCTGCTCCACCCGAAAGGCCCTGCAGGGCCATCTGAGCCCCGTGATGCGTGTGCTCTGAAGCCGCGGGGGGTGCTCTGAAGCCTCCTCGGGATCCTGGGAGGCCCTTGGTCAGGAGGAAAAGACACACACAGACACAATTAATCGTCGATTCCCCAGAAAATATGGGACAATATGGGAAGTGGGGGGGGAAACAAAAACTAGTAAATATGCGAAACTATAGGGAATCCTGTCATTTGTGTATATTTATTCTCTTGCACAGGGTGTCTAGAGCTCCGACCACTTTATTTCGGCACCGCCCCCCCCC